TTTGTTAGAGAGTTCTAATATGAAGGGGGGATATAAAAGATAGAAATATAAAAGAGCATGAACTGTACTGTGTGTTTGTGCGTGTAATTGAAAGTTTGAATGTGTGTGCGGGCATGTAGTTGAGTACGTGCGAGTGCCATTGCAAGTTTGTGTTTGTGTGTGTGTATATATATATAAGTAAGTATGAGAGTGAGTGTGAGAGTATGAGTGGGAGATTAAAAGTGGGAGTGCGGGTGTATGTGTTTGTTTGTATGTAAGTAAGTAAGTAAGTAAGTATATAGATATATATATATATATGTGTGTGTGTGTGTGTGCGTGTGCTTGTGCGTGTGCTTGTGTGTAGGTGTAGGTGTAGATTTAGGTGGGCGGGTTGCTTGCGTATTATAAAAAAGGTAAAATCAAAGGGGATCATGTGATGCATACAGGGAAGGTTGAATCGTAGGTTGCGTGAAGGTCTGGAGGCGTGGGACAAGTAGCGTTAGGGCGAGGGAGGGAGTCCTGTCGATAATGTGTTGCGGCTGCCATCCAAGCTTCGTTAGATCCTTCTGTGGGTGGTCGGTCAGAAAGGGGCTGGCAGCTTCGATCGGTGGCTTGTAACGCGCGATTAATAGGGACAGGAGGAAATAAAAAGTCGTATTGAAGCGAGGTTTGAGGAGACAGGGGCTGGGTGGTGGTCGGATAAGAAGGAGTGAAGAGATCGGGACGAGTGGGAGTATTTGGGGTAGAGTCAAACACACTATTACGCGGAGGAGAGGGGTTATTGGGAACAAAGGACGGGTCGGCCAAATCTCCACTATCATTTCCACCTCCACCTCCACTTGCATTTGCATTTGCATTTGTACTTGTACTGCTTCCTCCACTTCCATCATAAAAGTCCTTCTTCAGCCGACCATCAAACTCCTCTTTGGAACGTTGCATAAGGCCACCATTGCTACCGCTGACACCACCATCATAAGGTGCAGCAAGTGTTGGTGCCACCTGGGCATAAGTCTGACCTCCAAACTGAAATACGGACTGAGGAGCATCAAGCTCGATTCGCTGATTATACATAGACTCCAATTCTTGGATACGATGGCGTTGCTCTTCTAGCTGAATATTAGCTTTTCGCATATGATCGTTGTAAAAGTGCTGCATCTTGGCACATTCTTGCTTCATTTGTATCAATTGCATATATAGCTCATTCTCACGCAGTGTAGTTTGCTGAGGATTTATTGGGTGTGTGTTTGACTGGTGTAGTGCCTGTCTTGACTGTTGATGATTATGAAGCATAGCTTGGTGATGATGTTGAGCTTGAGCCTGGGCGTGAGCCTGAGCCTGAGCCTGAGCCTGAGCCTGAGCCTGAGCATGAGCATGAGCCTGAGCCTGAGCCTGAGCCTGAGCCTGAGCCTGAGCCTGAGCCTGAGCCTGAGCCTGAGCCTGAGCCTGAGCCTGAGCCTGAGCCTGAGCCTGAGCCTGAGCCTGAGCCTGAGCTTGTGCTTGTGCTTGCGCCTGAGCTTGTACCTGAGCTTGTACCTGAGCATGTACCTGTGCCTGAGCATGTGCTTGTTGTTGTGCTAGTTGTTGAGCTAGCTGCTGGGCATGTTGTTGTGCTTGCAATTGTGCTTGCGCTTGTTGTTGTTGTTGAAGTGTGGCCAAATCTGGCTGACTGCAGTTCCCCTCATGCCTCAGACCAGATATACTCAGCTGGTCATCGGCCTTATTGTGACCGGACATGTTTGAATAAGACATTATGCCGCCTGTCATCAGCCTACCGCTAGCACTAGCGTTACCACTACTGTTGTGGCTGCCGAGGCTGCAGTTACTGTTGTCGCTGTTGTACTGCTGCTGTGTGTTGCATATCTGAGTAGGCGACAAAGGCAATTCTTGAGAATCCGATTCGTATATCATATCCAACTGAGACTGGGTCGCTGCGTACTCTTGTTTGACTTGACGTGCGGAAACAGAAGAAGAAGACACCGAGGACGATTGACAACCATCGTCGTTACTCTGACTGGCGATCTCATCATTGTCGGACTCTTCTTCTCCTCCAGACCCGACATTGACAATCGTCTCTGGGTCTTCAGGCTTGACTCTCTTTCGACGAGAATATCGTGTTGGTTTGCGTCTGATGAGGTGGAATAGATCGCTTCTCCCGGGCCGAAAGTAAGGGTGGTGCCACCGACATTTTTCTTTGACTTTTGTATCCTTTGACTTGCGTGCGTCTGTGTCGCGTTGAAATCCGTAGATCTATATATATATATATATATATATTTATTTATATAATATAAGAATAGCAGCACAAAAGTGTCAATAGCCATCGTAATAAAAATAATAGTAATAATGTCAATAAAACTTGAACCTCCCCCCAAAAAAAATTAAAATATATATATGTCTATTTTGCTTTCTTACATTCAATTGACGGACAAACGATGCAAACTTACAGTGCTTGAAAAGGCGCGGAAGAACAATTTGCGTGAATTCTAGATGGGACTGGTGAGACATGGTAAATATTGCAAAAATAGAAGACGATGACTTACTGGGTATGCAATCAATAATAAACATATCTTTGCCATCATGAGTGCACCAACGTACGTATTTATGCTCGTTTTCCGGCTCTTGAAGGCTCCTGCAAACAATACAAAGGAATTAATAAGCAATGCTTTAATTGAACATGAGTTGTTGATTAATTGCCCTTTTTTTAAAAAAAATAAAATAAAGAATGGTTGTTGTTGTTGTTTTTGTTTTTTTTTTGGTTATAAAAATTTATCATTATTTTTTATTATTATTTTCATTTATTCTATGTGTATTAAGTATATAGATATATATATAAAATAAAAATGCTGGTTTTTTGGCGACTTACTGATAGAGTTTTGATACAAAGCCAGCAACACCCCGCTCAGAATGATTGATGTCCATGGTGTCGAGATCTTGCGCGGTAAATGAATGACTCATGGGGTGGCCTGGCATGTCCCAGTGATCTTGTGACAATGGACGTCTCATTACAAGAGACATCGACCTTGACATATTAGGGTCTATGGTTGAATAGTCTTCTTGAGGGGCGTCAGCCATTGGGAAGGGATTGGAAAGGGAAGAGGTTGTGGTAGGAGAAGTATGCATTGAATTGTCAGGGTCTTCGGGGTGCGGAGGTGGCATACCGACGGCTGAGAAGGCGTGCATCGAAAAATGCGATTGAGGATGGTGTGATCGATAGTTGAGGGGATGGTCCATGATAAATAATAATAATAATAATAATAATAATAATAATAAATAATAATAATAATAATAATAATAATATTCTTCCTTTTTTTTTGGGTTTGTTTTTGTAGGAGTGTGTGTGTTTGTGTGTGGATTTATAAAGATGGTATATACACACAAAATATTTTTCTATATATAAAATATATGTGTGTATGCATATATCTTTTATATATATATATATATATCTATAGGTAAATAGGTATATATTCCAAATGCGTTAATGGCAAATAGATATTTTTGTGTGCGTACTTTTTTTTTATGTGTGTAAAAGAAAAAATAATAATAATATAAAATATAAAAAAAAAGTCGATCTGAAGAAGAAAGAAAGAAGGGAGAGGGTGGTCGAGAAAAAGGGTTTATTTTATGTTCGAACTTAACAAAAAAAAAGAAAAAAAAAATAACGGTGTGATTTGCGTCACCTCAGGAGAAGTCAACGAGCGTAAATCTGAGAAAAAGCAAAATAAAAAAAAAGAGGGGGGAGGAGAGGGAAGAGTGGAGGAGAAGAGGACAAAGAAGAGGAGAGAGAGAGAGAGAGAGAGAGAGAGAGAGAGAGAGAGAGAGAGAGAGAGAGTTGGGGGGAGAGGGAGGTTAAAGGCGATTGACTTGGCTTGACTTGACTTTTCTTTTCTTGACCTGCCTTACTTTGCTTCACCTCACCTTGCCTTGCCTTGCCTTGCCTTGAATTACCTAAGATTTGCCTGAATTTGCTTGAATATATTCGACTAAGGTTTTATTTATTTATATTATTTCGGTAGCTGTCTTACTCTCAACACATCTCCCGTATTCACCCCCCTTGCAGTGGATGTTATGCAAACGCAAAAAAAAACAAAAAAAATCGAGGTGTGGCCGATACTCAAGGTCCCTTCTGTATGATCTCCAGTTTTCATCGGAGCCCCGTGCGCGGCCTATTTAAGTCTTGTTAAAACTGAGGCGTAACACAACTCGATGAGCACAGGCTGGTAAAAATAAAACATAAAAAAAAAATACAAAATACAAAATGCGATGAACTACTTCTTGTAGTGCTGCCACGAGGAGATCTGTGTTTTTGTACCCTGTGTTTTACAGCTTGTGATTGACCAATATATATATATATACGTCTATCTATCTATCTATCTGTCTATCTGTCTATACATTTTATAGAGTAAAATAAATAAATAAATGAATGAGACAATCTTATTAATGCCTCTTGATTTCGGTATCATCGAACCTTCTTTTTTTTTCTTTTTTTTTCTTAGTTAATTTTTTGCCGTTTTTTTTGTTGTTCCTTGGTTTGATTAGAATACAAACAAGACTCTTTCGTTCATCCTTGGCTACATCTATATCTAAACATATCTAATGGAAAAAAATATAAAAGATCCAAAAAAGGGGTTTTTTTTGGATTCTGCTAGCACAGAATTGACGCGTGTCATCTGGCCTTGGTCCTCAAAAGGGGAATAACGGGCCTAAGAAGGGAAAATGTTGCGTATCGGTGGAAGTAAAGAATGGCGGGCCAAGATAATTTGTCTCACTGTCGTAGCAATAGTAAAACCCTCAGTTGGAATATTGGTAATAAAAATAGAGTGTCACTTATGGCAAACAAAAATAAAATAAATTATCTTGTACTTAACTTTTTGCGTTGAATATCAATTCAAATTAACCTCAATAAATTACAAATCATTTCTAATACAAGAAATGTCCAATCGAATTTTTTTTCCCTCTATTTTCTCTTTACTTATTTATTTATATTTAATTTGTATCCATGGAAACAGTTCAGGTACGCAATTACCATGGCAACTACACCGTGTCAAAAATAAATAAAGAAAGAAAAATTATTGATAGGTTTTTTTTTTTACTTTTTTTTTTCTTTTGGTTATAGCCTTTTGTTAATTGCTTAAACATTGGTCTGTGTTGCGCTTGTCACACACATCAGTGGGGTGGCGGGCTAGGAAGAAGACCAGGTGCACTGTCAAACACTATTGGCCTACATATGTCACACAGATAATTCCCCATTCTAATGACGCCCAGGGTTTTCTTTTTTTTTTCTTTTGTGTGTGTCTGTGAGCAGAATGGAAAAAAGCTATTGGATAGCTACATATCTTGTCTTTTTTTTTTTGTGTTTTGGTCCTCGCTTAATAGCTTTTACCCATTTATTGGCATAAGTTTTATCGTCACAAAATAAATAAAATAAAGAGAAAAATTGACCAACGGACCGATCCGAGCAAAATCCATGTCCAACTATGTGACTTGGCAAAGTCATGTGATTGCCGGAGTGTTCGTTTCTTTCTCCCTTTTTTGCCAGTCCAATTGGCGTGCGCGTCTTATTTATCCAACACATACACACACACTCGCATATAACCCCCCAAAAAAAATTAAAGAGTTGACGATGGTAAAAGCAATGAATCCAATCAACATTGTCTAATTGTGTAGCTCTTTTATTCCTTTTTCAAGACACTGGTGAATGAACAAGTGACTGTTGAGTTGAAGAATGATCTTGTGATCACAGGAACTCTCAAGTCTGTCGATCAGTTCTTGAACATCAAACTCGATGACATTCAGGTTATTGATGAAGACAGATATCCCCATATGGTATGTTTGAGTATTCGTAATAACTTTGTCATCGTAAATCCCACAAATGTGTACATATATACACACACACATACACACACATTTATATCTATATATATATATATGTATTTTTGTTTTGGTTTTGGTTAGATTTCTGTGAAGAACTGCTTTATTCGTGGGTCGGTCGTACGGTACGTACAGCTTCCCCAGCAAGCCGTCGACACTGCTCTTTTGCAGGATGCTGCTCGTCGCGAGGCTGCTCAGCCTTCTTCAGCTCAGCAGGCCAATGTACGAGTCAAATAAAGATAATAACAATAAGAATGAAAAAAAAAACAAAAATAAAAGCAAAAGCAAAAGCAAAAGCAAATATATATATATATGTATATGTATATGTATATGTATATATAACAATAAATACATAAAGTATGTAATGTATATTTATGTACAAAAAAAGAAAGGGAAAGTAACCAAAATAAACAAATAAAATAAGTTGGTCAAGTTGGTCAAGTTGGTCAAATCAGTCAATCTTCATATAACCAAAATCCTTCAACCAAATTTGCACCTCATAAATAGCGCAAACACGTGACTGAGATATGCATAATATCCCAAAAAGAAAATTTTAAAAAAAATATAGGCAATATTGAAAGATGGGAAAATATTAATCACCATAATATATATATATATATATATTCGATACTGAATTAGAGTAATTGTTCACGTGTTTGTTGGTAGAAAAGCTAACTGGAATGAAGACAACTTGATACTTTGCCCATTCTCTTTTTTCTTAATGCCATTTGCAACAGTCAGACGACTTTCACAGGCATCTTTGCAAGCCCTTGGGTTGCGTAGATCCAACTCTGATGGCGACAGACATCAACGTAGAGGAAGATCAAACCACAACAACATCGGCAACGAAAACGAAAACGGCAACGAGAACGGCAACGGCAACGGCAACGGAAACGGCAGTAGCAGTAGGAGTAGGAGTAACAGAAATAGTAACAGTAACAGCAACAGTAACAGTAACAGAGGCAGCAACAGTAATAATTACAGTAACAGCAACAGTAACAGTGACAGAAGGCACAGTCTTATTCGTGGGCCGGCTCTTTTACCGAACTCTACCCCTACAACTCCGCCAGAAACAACATTAGGAGAAAAGCTCAGTCGAGCGACAGCAGATAATATGGATGGGTTACTTGCTATAGAGACACAGATCAGGGTAGAGGATCAATACCGCAGAGCAAGTCATCCAGGCTCCTTCCGACCTACAAAAGTCACTTTCAATTTACCAAAGCGTCCTCTAAGGCCTATTCCTGGCTCTAATTATGTTGATCAAGAATCAAGTGAGCAACAACAACAACTAAAGCAGCACCTACAACAACAAAAACAGAATAATCTTAACTATAACCATCAACATCGAAATCAAAATCAAAATCAAAATCAAAATCAAAATCAAAATCAAAATCAACATCTGCATCAGCATCAGCATCAACAGCAAAACCCTCCGGAACACACATCCCGACATTTCAGTCAACGGAATTCCAACCTTGTCTTGCGGATCAATAGCGGGACTAAGGAGAAGGACAAAGCATCCGACATTACGGTTGGTTCTGATGTACGCCTCGTACTACGGCCTGTGCTCACCCTCGGCCGTGTGCGCTACATGGAACCACACTCCATCCCAAACCATCCTGAGCGACTGGTTGGCGTAGAACTTACAGATGGTGGTAAATTTGATTAATATTATATATATATATATATATATATATATATATATTATTTTATTGTATTTTTGTTAGCTTATCTATTCACATGGCGAATTTTATAGTAGGTGATTGCGATGGTTGTCTAGAAGGAATCAGGTACTTCCAGACCAAAAATTTACGAGCCGTTTTTGTTCCTCTTTCCAATCTTGCCCTTGCGTAGAGCATGTTAAATCAAACACATGTGCTATTTTACTTTTATATATATATATGCGTTTATATACACATACACACATACACACACACACATACATACATATGTATATATATATATTTGTTACAGATGAATAGGATGTTTATTGTTGAAATAATTGTTGTAATTTAGTTGTAGTTTTAGTTACGAATGTAGTTGGAGCGTATTATATGTGCGCGTATAAGTTCATCCACAAGTAAAATAAAATAAAGTAAAATAAAATAGAATAAAGCAAGCAGGTCGTCAATGCGTATATGGATTTTTTTTGTGTACGTGTGTTTTTGTACCCGTATATATATATATGTGTGTGTGTGTGTGTACGTGTGTGTGTGCGTGTGTGTATGTGTGTGTGTGCAGTTGATGTTACATTACACGATATCTTTTACAGCTTGCGGGGTGCACTGATCAGGGTAGGAGCAATTCGTCTCTTTTTGGGACCAGCAGTTTGCACCTCACTGGTTCGCTTTCGTTCAGTAGTCTCCGTTCGCACTGTGATACCTAAAAGATCGCCAATCGTTGTCTGGACACTATTACTTGTACGGACACCCTCGGTCATCTCAACATCTTTCACAATCTGAGCAACAGCAGGAGGAGTCACAATTTGTTTCTGTGGCGATGGTAATATCGATGATGGCGAAGGTGCAAGTGAAGCTAGTGGAGTTGGTGGTGGAGCTGGTGGAGCTGTATATAACTCGCCCAATTCACCATCTGCAAAAACCACTGCAGACAGATAGCCATCAGACGAAGCAAACATTAAAATTGTACCATCTGGAGACCTGCGCGTAAAATAATAATAATAATAATAATACTTTTATCAGTCAATTTATACTATTATTATAATTATAGTAATAATAGCAGTAGCAGTAGCAGTAGCAATAATAGTGATAGTAATAATAGAAACACCCGGATATTTTTTTCTTCGGTTTTGTATTTTGTTTTGAAGGTCTTACCAGGCCAAATCCATAATGGGCGCGTAGTGCATTCCGGACAGGACACAGATCGGTCGCGTCTGTTGTGTATCGTGTATATAGATCGTGTCTTGCGTCGCTACCGCATACAGCATTCGGTACTCTAGTCCAAATGTAGTTCTATAATGTTTGGATCTTCGTTCATAAGGCTTTGAGCACCACCGCACCACTGTAGATGGCTTTGGGTGATTTCCATTGTATGCCACAGGACCCCTTTATTTAATATCATCATTAAAAAATCAATCAATCCGTAAGTTCAACATCACACACACACACACAGCTTTATATCTATATATGGTCCTAATATACAATCAAACTGCCAATCAATCAAGAAATCAAGAAATCAAACTTACTTTTGAAGTAGATTTCGGCCATAAATGTAAGCGCAATTGCGAACTTCATCTGCCCCACTTTCTACAGTTTCTTCACTACCAGTGCCAGCACCAGCACCGGTACCAGCACCGGTACCAGTAGTTCCTTCCGGAGTGCTCTTGAATAGTCCTGAAGGTGTAAGCAAAAGTGCTCCGTCTGGACTAAACCACAATCTTCGAAAAAAAGAGACCAGATTTTCATCATGGTACAGCCTACTGGACGTTAATTCCTCGGATCCTTCGCTCTTTTGTGTCTTGGGCCGCTCTTGTCGGTAGTGCTTACGGAAACAAGGACCGAAGATGGGTTTGTCTAAGGGTCCCTTGCGATACTTGTAAATAGCGACCGATCTTTGTAATTTTTTTGTGCCATTTTAGTTTAACTAACTCTTTCCTTTTGGGTATCTTGTGTGTATTTATGTATGCACGTATGTACGCGTGTGAGCATGTACGCGTGTACGCATGTACGCATGTATGTGTATATTTGTAATATACTTAAGATTATACTATATTACGTTATAGTATTTACCTGTCACTACTTTGAGTTGCAACATATTCTCCCAATGGATCCCAGGTTACCCCCTGAACATAGTGGGTGTGGTCTGAAAATACATGGATCATTGTCTCTAATAGTAATAATATGTGTTTTTTTTTCCAAAAAGTAGATAAATAAATAATCAGTTACAGAAATTTACCTTATTGGTCTTTTTTTTTTAAAAAAAAAATATGCATTCATTCAAACACTTACTTTCTGCTATGCTCCACACACGTGCAGTGTTATCAATTGATGCTGTCATGAAATATTGTCCACACGGTGACCACGACAAATCATAAATTTCCTTAGTGTGTCCACTGTCAAAGGTACATTAAGCCAACCTTGATCTTTCTCTTTCTCTCTTTAAGAGAGAACCCATATATATATATATATATATATATATTCTTTCCCTTTTTTGTACTTACTAGAACATCTGGACTACAGTCCAAGTTTCTTTTTCGTATTCACTGTGTACACTGCCAAATGCAGAATCCTTATTGGTTGCCAATCTCCAAAGAATTATACATGTATCTAATCTCATGCAATCAACAAATGTTTCACATTGCCTTTTTTCTCTTTCTTTCTTTGTTTGCTACTTCTTTATATATACGTGTGTGGGTGTTTAATTACCATCGCCTGCAGATGCCAAATATTCGCCTGTAGGTGAGAATCTGACAACATTTACTGGTGCTGAATGTCGTTTGAGTTCACACAAAAAGTCGATTACTACTGGTAATGCATTTCCCGACTTGTGGGATTTTTTGTGTTCATTCACTTGATTCGTGCCTGGTCGACGTTGTATATTCCAGATCTACCATACTCATTGTCAAAAAAAACCCCCAGAAACAACCAAAATGAAGAACTAAAAAAAAAGTTCATAATCCTTTTTTTTTGTCTTGTTTTGTTTTTGTTGTTGTTGATTTTTGCTTCTAATTATTATTATAATTAAATGTCTTACTCGGACAGACGTGTCAGCACCTCCGGTGGCAAATCGCATGCCATCCGATGAAAAATCGGTAGAATACACGGCCTTGGTGTCATGCCAGTTAATCTCGAGAGTCTGTGACGGATGTTAGAGTGAGAGTAACAATTGACGGTCGTTTTTTTTTTTTTTCAAGATGTATATATATAAAAGAAACAGGGGATTTGGGAAATAAAATGTTGGACCATGTGCTCTGTACCTGGGCAATCATGGGGGTAATAAAGATCCAATAAGCGCGTTAGCCTCGTTATAATGACCAACAAGGCAAGAAAAGAAGAGGAAGAGAGAAAAATAAAAATAAAATATAAAAAATTGAGATTCCCAACTGGCCGTAGAAAAATAATAATAATAATATCAAGCTGTGTGTATCTTTAATGTGTGTGCGTGTGTGTGAGAGAAAGAGAGCTTCAAGCAACGTCACAGTTTGAAAAGACTAGAAAAAAAAATAGAAAAATAAAACAACCATCATCTTTACAAGTTATTTTGTATTGAAATGAATACATATGTCTATATGTTTTTGTGTGTGTGCGTGTGTGTGGTATTTGATTATAAAATTAATTATTAGAATAATATGAATATTTATCACATATTTCGTCCAAAGTCTACAATACAGTAGAAAATTAGGTGCCGATATTTCTTGGTGTCAATAATACATTTTCAATTGTTTTCTTTTTTGGATTTTTTTTTTCATATATTTAAAAATACAATAAAGTACACAATTAAGGGATCGTATTTACGAGCGTACAGAATACTGCGGTAATTTTAGCAATGAAGAAAACAAAGAGAAAGAGGAGGGAGGGGGGGGGGGGGTTAAATTAACACAAAAGGTACAAGCACAAGTATAAAGTTGAGATTTGATCTGTATCATTCTTTTTGCATTTGTATTTAGAGAAAAAGGTTGGAATTAGCTACTGCTACTATTATTACTACTACTACTATTATTATTATTATTTTAAATCGCAAAAAATATTATATACCCTAGTTCAACGCGATATCACAAATGTATTTTAAATGCTGATATTTAAACCAGAATGCAAGTTCACTAGGTAAAATGTCATCTTAAAAATAAAGTTAGATGTTTTCATTAAGTATAATGTATTATATATAAATATGTAAGAAAATAGAATAGAATATAATAAAATCCAAAATCCAAAATCCAAAATCCAAGCCATTTAATGCAGGTTCCTCTAGTTTCTATTAAGTAAACTTCTTGCAGTCAGAAGCACTGCTGAACAATCACAAGCTTGTACATATAAATACTTACTGCGCATTTTTTTTCATACATTCACAGCATATTAAAATCCTGCTTTATATATATAATGCACAGATAATAATAATAACAACAAGTATACATATGTACTATGGACTCACCTTGCATTTTGAGCCAAAACAATCATATTAAGTAGGCAGTGTATCCAAAAACAACAACCCTTATTGCAATTTAATACAGCACCAAGTGATCAGATATCCCGTCATATATCGTCTTTTAGAAACTATTTTGCCTGCTTCAATGCAAGGAGTTTTTTTTCTCGCCCCTTTCTTTCTATATCTTTTAAACTTTTCTCCAAGGTTATTTTGAATCTCAAATAAATGTACAATTGTCATGAGGAGAACAATATACCTTTTCAATATATTTTTTTCTTCACAAGGTTTTATAAATTATATGCCTGTCATTTATCAAATCTACACAAATAATTCTCCTCTTCCCCTCATTCCCTCTCCCTCCATCCCTTTTTCCCTTCTTTTGTTGCACATATGCATATACATTTGTGTTCTTGTTCAATACCCTTTATTTATACTCCACATGTTTTAATGATCTTTTTGTTTTGTCCAAAGAGAAAGATCAATAAACTTTCTTTGTACTTTACGAACTTTTTTTTTTAAATTTTTTGTTTTGTTTTAATCTTTCTATCAATTTTTAAAACTTAGAGAAACACAAAAAATCTTTGATTTTTTTTTTATAACTTATTATTGTATTCTTTTTTTTTGTTCTTCTTCAATTTGATAAATATTCGCACCGAATCCCAATAGTAATAATAATGACAATAATGAAAATAATAAGGCTCGACGATTTTTTAAGACAAATATAGAGAGAAGTCTGCTAAAAAATGTATAAAGAAAAAAATGTAAAAAAGGGGGGAAGGGGAGGGAAGGAAGGGGAAGTGAAGTGAAGGGGGGAGGAGGGGAAAGGGAAAGGGAGGAAGGGGTAGGGGTGGGGGGGTGGGGGGGGGGGGAGAAAGAAGATTGTTTTTGTTTACGAGGATATTTAAACGAATGGTAAAGAGGACAAAATCGTTTAAGATAAAGGAAAAATATGTACTATTGTCTGCTTGCTTGGTTGTTTGCCTTTTTTTATAATTGTGCCATGGAGATACCTGCACTCTCAAAGTACTTTGGCAAATATTTGTTTGCCTCTTCTGTCTTGGCCATCAATTGCTTGACCTATAGAAATCATTCGATAATAAGAATTAGTTTTTTTTTGTGTCTCTGACATGTCTCTAAAATTTCATTATTTTGTACGTACGATCTCGCGTCGTTCGGGAGTCATGGCTACTAATTTTTGAGCTAGGAAGATTGGACAGGCAGGAAAACCAGCCACGGGATCATCTCTTACAGGGTTAGAGGTGGCCAATTTAGTAAACGAAGTTTGATAGCCTCCTTCTTCTTCCAAATCCAGGGTGTAAAGCTCATCTGGACCATCTTCAGCAATCTCAGGTGCAAGTTCCAGCTGATCTACAAGGTTCAGGAACACATTGGTCCACAAGCCGCTAACATAAGGCTCCTGAAGCATGGCGTCGCTTTGGGTCAACAAGCGAACTAGACCAACACCACAGATCTTCTTGTCAACCGGGTCACGCACAATAGGAAGATCAGGGATTACAAAGATAGTAATAATTTGACCAAACAGGCTATTTTTTTTTTACAGAAAAAGAACAACCCGAGATTTTGAAAGATAAAGAAAGATTCTAAATCAATATACGTATATATATATATATATATATATTTAATAGACTTACCCTGGTTGAAGACTCTCAAAGACACTGATGAGAGTATCGGGTCCACCAGTAGAATCGAGAGTACAGAAAAGGCAGAACCAAAGAGTGAAGTTTCGTGTAAAACGATCAAACACCATACCTTCCTTGGTCTTTTTGATTTGAAGGCGCTTCAAGACAGAAGCCACCAATGTAGGCAAGTATTTACCAAAGATTGACCTACATTGTATTGTACATATTGTTATTACCATATTTTTTTAAAAAAAATTACATTCACAATACAATAAAAAGGTTTGAATTTATACAACAGCAAACACACACACTTTCTTCTTGCTTGTAGTCATTGCTTAATTTACAGCCTTAAGACAAATTCAACTTACATTGGCACATGCTTGGTGAGAGCAGTCAACAAAGAGATCCCATAATGGTCGTTCTGTCGAGAGTTGACCAATTTTTGCTGGAAGATACCCAGAATAGGTTCCAGCTTGTTTTGTGAAATGATAGTGTTCACGCCTCTTGACAAGTAGGCCTCCAATAAACGTACCAAGGCAGGGATATTTCCTTTACACATTCACGTTTATAAATAAATGAATATATGTAATATAAGGTAATATAAAGTAGTATAATGCAATGTAGTGCAGTGTAGTGCAGTGCAATGTAGTGTAACCTTTTTTTTAAAAAAAAATATTATGTCTATTACCTTGCTCCCACAGTGTAGGGTTGAGAAGAGGTGTAAGCCAGTCAATGTACAGCTGAGGCAAGTCTTGTCCAGAATGGTTTTCCAAAAGTTGAGCCAACAGCTGGAATACATAGGGCATGAATTCTAATGATAAAGAACCAGTAACTCATTAGTTTCATGATTATTGGATTCCCCCACTTTGAGATATTTTATTCTAGTTTATTTTTCCACTAATTATTATTATTATTATTATTGTTATTACCTTGGACACCTTGAGTAAGAATTGTTTGGAAAGGAGTGAATAGCATAGTTTCGAACTCGTCTACTGCTTGTGGTGAAATTGGGCAAATGAAACTAAAATAATAGCACCAAAAGAAAAGTTATTTGGTTCTGTTAACACAAAGCCCTAACTCAATTCACCAATAAAAATATAGAGAACTTTACCGAATGAGAGCACCGATGCTTTCAAAGATGTAATGGTTGAAACGGGGGTTACTGGGGTTCTTGCTCACAACAGCCAAGATTCCAGTCAATTTACCCATAATGACATTTACATACTGAACCATGTCTTGTCGACTTGTAATAATCACACGCATCACAGCTATGCACACAGGAATACATGACATACATGATATATACTTAGTAAACCTTCCTTTTCATTACGTATATATACATATACTCATGACTAACCTTTCATAAGGTAATCGTTCTCAGATAATTTTTCGGGAGTCTGGCCAAGCTCAATCAGACGGGACAATTCAGATAGTAAAGTCTCGGCATAGAGTTTGATATCCTCTGCAGTAAACCTATTATTTTTCGATTTGGTTATCTTTCTCTTGCCTCTCATATTTTTTCTTTAAAAAAAATAATTGGTATAACTGTGACTTACAACATTGTCTTTCCCTGACGAATGAATAGAATACGTTCAATTGCAATTGCAGCATAAGTGTGAACCACATAATCAGTAGACTGGAGATGGTTGACCAACAAAGGAAATACAGTCAAAAGCTGATCCTTTGTGAGCTGGTTTCTGAATGTGTAAAGGTACTTGATGGCATCCACTTTGAGGAATGGAATACCAGCGTTGACATCGGTTTGAAGATCGCCAAGGACATTCTTGGTAAAGAAGTCAACCACATCTACATGAGAGTTGGTGTTCAAGACACCGACTTGGGTGGTAGCATTCCGGGTGGCAATAGCAATCAACAAAAAGATTGCAGTGTTCTTGTCTCTCCAGTTTTTAGTAGGGTTAGCAGCGTAACGCTAAAAGAAGAAGAAGCAAATACATTAAAAATAAAATAAAACGTAGACACAAATAAGCAAGAAGAAGAAGAAGAAGAAAATATCATTACTTCAAGATAACTATTGATGTATCTAGACATGATTGATGTGACCTGAGGCTCGAAAAGTTCCATAATGCCACGAATAAAGTCTGCGGCAGCACGGCGACGAGTGTCGCTATCTACATTTTCCCATTTGATTATTATTGTTAAAAAAATAAGCAGTTTAGTTTAGTGGTTGTATATAAAGCAAATTGTCTTTCTATTTTACTTATTTATTTTTTGTTGTGAGAAATGAGTATCTTACCTGAGCCTTCAATATCTCTACGGATATATTCGATAGGGTTATCTTCGAATAATTCTTCGTCCGAAGCTGTACTCACACACAATAATAATAATAATCAGAGGTTAAAATTTACAGTCACTTCCTTAGTTTTATATATATATATCCCTAATAACTTACTTCTCATAGAAATGTTGGGAAGAGCAATCTTTTCGCACATTTGCTGCATAGTAGTTTCCTGACCAAATATATCAGAGTATTTTCTTAAACGGATAATACAGGTCAATGTAGCCAATCCGTTTCCAACCATCTAAACGAACAGCAATTGGTTAGCCATGAATATATATACACACACATCCACACATAGACTGACAGTCCTTTTTTATTTTTTATTTTTATTAATTTCTTATTGTATTCAAATCTTACAGTGTCATACTTGGACTCTTGTCCAGTATTTGCCAATAGTTCAAACACAATTGGAATAAAATCCTTGAGCTGTTCAAATTCTTCACTGTACTTTTGGGTGTAAAGTTCGACAATCTCACAGATACCAGTCTTTATCTTTTCCAAAGGACCTGCTTCCTCTTCATCCTAAAATACACACAGAGAAATTGTTAATTGTGCTGTACATATTTATGTCTTTATGTATGTATATGTATGACACTTACCTCACTAACAAGAAGGGGGTTGTTGTATAACAAATACTTTTGGAACAATGCCATGAAAGTAGCTATGTTATCCTCAAAGAATTCAGGCAAATCCTGACAATTAAGATCGTAAAAAATCTTGATAAGGAGAATGATCGATTGTGCCAAAATCTGGAGAGCGTGTTCGTTGTTCGCATTTTCAGTCATCAACCTGTCGGTAATCTTGATAATGATACAGAAAATAAGAATAAATGCATGTGTTTAAGGTTATACCACATCCACACAAGTCTAACCCACAAGCAAAAAATAAAAGAGAGACATACCTGAAAGAGCTGCATATAAGGCTCACAGAATACATCCAAAACATACTTGATCTTTGCAAACAAAGTATCGGATTTGAACTGTGATCTCCATCTAAGACAACACCACGCATTATTCATACATTTTTTACCCTTTTGTATATTGCACACAAACTCCAAAGAAAATAGCCAAAAGAAAAAGCAGAGTATTATTACCTTTTGAAGATCGAGTGCGCAGTATGAAGGATACCATTGTTAGTTTTATAGTCTGTGGGGCTCAATTGACTGATCAATTCCTATACACACACAAAGACACAAAGGCACAACCGAAAATTAACAAATATGATCCATAGATCCGTTTGGCACTCCACAGACACAAGCACAAAATTAGCCTTTGTTCAGAGTATAAACTCACAGGTAAAAGGTTGGTCCACTCTTCAGGGAAATCAGTTTCAGCCATAATGCTCAGTGCGTCACTCAACTGAAGCTGAAGCTTCTCTGGGACACTAATCATCAACTGAACTATTTGAGTTTTGATTGCTACTCGGTCTTCAGGTGTAATATTATTGATATCATCGCTTTCCTGTTATTTATGAGATTTCAGGAAGATGAGTACATTGAGATCTTGGAACTTTTTTCTTCTGTCTTTTTTCTTCTCTATTTTTTTTCGTTTTATGCCAAAAAAGAAGGCTGGCAAATATAGGAATGAAATCAAACATGTTATTCTTACAGGAACCCATTGACGTTTGACAAAGTTCTTGAAATAAAGTGAGGCTGCAAAACGAAGAGTAACGTCGACTTGCTGATCGCTAATGAGTCTCAAAAGGACAATCGAAAATCCAGGCTGGACTTCAAAAGCAAACAACTGGCGTTCGGCTGAATAGTACAAATACAAAGTAGTATATAAAAGGTGAATACGATGCGATTAAAGGAATGAAAGAAATGTTGAATGAGAAATTGGTTTGAATCTGAACCTTCTTTCTGGACAGCTGCAGCGGGGTTAAATGTATTTTGCAAATACTGCTGCAGGGCAGTGTAGGCTTGATCGTTTGCAACCATTTTGATAGTAGAAGGAAAGGCCAGGACGCGTGAGGCGCAGGTCTTGCGAGTCAAGTCAAGTAAGAAATAAACAGTGACATGACGCGAGCACAAATCTCCGCTCATTTTTGTATTCACCCCCCATTTTATTCATTCATTCAGTCAGACATACAGACAGACAATAATTACAGACCGTAGATTAGAAGCAAACGCTAAAGGGCGGTTTTTTAAATTCCAAGGGGTAGTTTTATAGGTATTAAAGGGCGAGTATCTTTTTTTATGTCAATTTGTTTAAAGAACAGTTTACAATTGGCCGATTAAAAAGTAAAAAAAAAAATTGATCCCCTTTTCGAGACCAAATCGATATTTTTTTTCGAAGTTGAGAGCCTATCAGTGCCAAAATAACTTTTACGTATAGCCGATAAGAATATAAGTAGCCAATTATAATCCCACTTTAGGTCAGCGATACTAATAGTTAAACATAAAAACAAAAACAAATGAGTGGTGATCAAAACCAAACAGCACAATGCTAAACAGAGTCAAGGTAGGCAATGCTGTTTGAAATAAATGGCAATGAATATTATTATTGCTTGAATAAAAACAGATAGTGCTGATCAGAATTATTTAGAGCATTATCTGATTAGAATTTGTCCAAGAAACACAGACTAACATATATCCAAGATATAGCCTGATAGGAGAACGACTACCTGGTGAGCATATAGAGCCAGGCCGGCTGGTAAAATTATATTTGAATCACTCCTATACATGTTATATGGAGATTGCCAAGATATTTGATCTCTAGAACTAGTCATAGGCTGAGAGATTCTTTCTCTCGATTTGTGATGTATCAGTCTTTTTAAAAAAGTCTTGGCTTTCAAAAAAATAATAACAATGAATGAAGTTATATAATCAATAATGCTTATATGTAAACTAGTATAAGCCTGAAAACAAAGAAGCTGATATGAGCTTATCCCAATCGAGTTTTAAAGTAAAATTGGTACTTGGGCGAGGACATTTCTTTTTTAGTTTTCTTTTTATTCAAAAAGAGAACCACTGTTTGTCTCCAAGGTAAAATATTTTCAACAGTACACAGTCTAACCCACGAATCTTCTTATATTTTTAAGAAGTTGGAATATAAGAACGCGACTTAGACTCTGCCTTTAAGTTCTCTGCAAATCTTCTTACCATTTTACAATCACATCACTTAAAGTCTACTATCCATTCGATAAACTGCTCAACTCATTTTTACACATTAATTGTAATATGTAGTAACTAAAATCTTTATAGCGGAGAGTTATATAAAGCTTGAAGGGAAGGGGGCGCTCTACTTCCAAAAAGGATTTGTGTGTGTCTTCGAATGAATTTATGTGTGTGTGGGTGGATTTATGTGTGTGTGGGTAGATTTTGTGTGTGTAGGTAGATTTTGTGCCCCAGACGTGGCACAGCGGAGGTACAAATATTAAGAGAGGCAAATTGAATAGTAAGAAAAAGAACGTCTTTATCGATTGATATATATAAACATATTATTCTATCTCTTTAATAAATAACACTCTCACATTTTTTTTCTAATATGGAGATATTAATCCAAAATCAATCATAAATACCTTAATTGCAATGCAGTATAATACTTAAATAAAATTATAATTGGAATAAGAGGGTCAATTACTTGTCATAGAATAATAACAAAAAATTAAAGACTAATTGAAAACTTGTAAAAAAGCAAAAAAGTAAAGTGAAGTAAAATAAAATAATTAATTTAAATTTCAAATGCCCAGTCTTTTTGGTAGATTGTAGGGCATTTTTGTAACTCAAACGGTTTAAACTGTTTTTAGTAATTTAAAAACACCTGGGAGCGTGGCATTTTTGTGAGGATAGCAGTTTTTGTCCACCAAAAAAAAATGCGGCGGTGTTGTAATATTTTATTTCTCCCAATGTCGTATAATCAAAAATGCAAAATTTTATTACTTCGGAATTAGAAGCTTACTTTAGAAAAAAACGTACTAAGCTATCTATTTTTTATGTGCTACAAAAGTAGCAAAAAAACGTCGGCAAGTGAAAATTAAATAATTGGATTTTACATAGTGTTGCCCTTTGGTGGGTGTTTTTTTTTTTAAAAAAATAACTAAATCATTTTGACTTTGTTTTGTACTATCTATGATTTAGAGCTCTAGTTTTAATTTATAATCCCAATATTTTTACTTTTGTTTCTTTATTTTGTATGTATTTTCTTATTTATTTATTATTAAAAAAAGGGGGGTAGACAAACGGTGGTTCTCTGGATATTTTTTTTTGTTCAATTGGATACTTTAAACAAAAATTTGCTCGATATTTATAGATCATTTAACCTCATAAGCCTTGGAGATTTCTTGCGCCAAGTTTATTTTTTTAAAAAATAAAATAAAAACAAAATCGTGTTATCGATGGTTATTTCCAGTCAATGAAAAAGAAACTTTCATCCAAATTCGACTTTAATTACGCACACTCTTTCATCCTTATAACTTGAACAATGTATATGTATGTTATTTTCAATATGTAAAAACAAAATAAAGTAAAATGAACAATTCAAATGATGTTTTGATGTCTAAGAAATGAATAAATGAATAGATATAAATAATGGGTTAAATAAATAACAAGAAAAAAAAACAATTATAATGAAAGGAAATACAATAAAGTGAAGAAACCACCAATATACTTCTAAAAAATAAATGATTGATAATAAGAATGACTTAGATATTTTCTACTAAACTAGTCTATTGGGGGTACTCAGCCAGATTGATCGATCAAATTTTGAATTCAGAACGCGATATTTTTGGACTAAAATTGTAATAGCGACGATCGAAATTTGATCGTCTTTTTGAAAGATCAAATTTCGATCAAATTTTGATCGAAAAACGTACGGCTTTCTGATTGGCCTAATCCTTACTTTTTTTATATGCAATACGATACTGTTTTTATCTTTCTCAATAAATAATAGAATTTATTGCCGTCAAAGTCTTATAATACTTCTTTCTCTCCATCTTACATAAAAAAATACAATACAAAGTAGCAAACAATTGATGCCTTGAAGAAATCACATAAAATCAGTGAATTTATCGTGAAAAAAAAACACTGGTAGAGTCTTTATCAGCAAGTGCAGACGAGCTTATTAAAGATATTTTAGAAGTAATCAAAAAGGAAGTTAATATAAAGTTGGAGCAGATGGCTGCCGTGAAGGAGCTTGAACAAACACTTAAAGCCAATAAATACATACACAAGGTTGACAATTTATTTCCAGATGTTGAGTAAAGGAAAAGAACACTTGACTTCTTCGAGAGTCTAGATGACTATAGGTTCAAAGAAGAAATCAGAATGTGCAAAAGCTTATTCTATAAATGCTATAAAAATCTATGAATTTTGTACGAATTTTGTACTTTTGTCTTTTGGTGTCCTCAACTACAAATTGATGCCATTGGCCAAGATTCACACAAGAATTTGATCGATCAATCTGGCTGAGTACCCCTATTAAAACCAACATTTCCTGCTAGGGTATACAATTTTTGAAGTAGTATGTTAGATGGATATTTTATTACACACAAATGTATATCTATATTAGTAGTGTGACACTGTATGTATAAAAGTATACAGTTAAAGCTCGATATAGTGATATGGATGGTGGACAGAAATTTTATCACTATCACTATATCGAGCGTGTTTTTTTCTTACTCCGCGCATTATTTAGTGATATTTCTAATGCCGCTGTGAGTGACTACTGTTTTCTAATAGGATTCATAGTATTTTGTCTAGGAAAGTGGGCTTGCTTTAAAATGCTAAATAAAATATATACTATATTTATTTTTTTATACTACAAAAATAAACTCAGAGCTCGATATAGTGATACTGGTGGATTCAAATTTTATCACTATCACTATATCAAAAAATAGTGATAATAAGCAGGCATGGGCCCAAATTTTCCAAAAAATTATCACTATATCGAATATCACTATACCGAGCTTTGACTGTATACTCAATATTATACTTTTTATGCCTAGCTAAAGCCAATATCCTGCCTTGTATTAGAGAGAGAGAGTAAACTTGCAGCAATTTTGTCTGAAATGCTAAAAGTCCACGCCCTCTATATTAAAGGGATTTTATTATTATAATAATTATCGCTCGTTAGGGACCAGATATAATTGTCAGATTTTGGATAACAAGTCATGTTTATGTGATCTGATAAAAACAAAACGTCGATTCCCTCCGATCAACAATGATTTTATCAATTGATTTGTTACTACCATAAAAGTAATAAATAATCATCGAAAACCACGCTTCATTAAAAGAAAAAATATTGATTTTCTAATAAATTTAAAGATATCAGCATGATCTGTACATAAGCTGTTTTAAGAGTATAAGCTCAATATCCCGCTAAATCAGACTCTCTATCTCTCCTTATTATTAGTATTGTTGTTGAGCCAATAACGAAAAAAAAATAGAGCCGAAAGTTCCATTATTGGATTTTTCATGTTCTATCTTATTAACCCATGCATAATTTTTCCCATTTTAATTCATGTGCTTTACTTGACTTTATTTTGTTTTTATTCTTTTAGACAGTGCACAAGGCATAAGGTAAAAAAACAGTTTCAAGATTTATATAGGTACATACATTATTAATTGCCTTGCTTTATTTTTATATGGTTTTGAATACAGTATTAGTAATATTAGTCAGAGCCAAAAAAAAGGTTATTGATTGTTATTATATATCTGCAAGAAATAAAAAACAAAAACACGCACGCAAACATTTATTGCTTGAATTTTGCATAGTCAATGCCAGTAAGCTTATTACAAAAGGTGTGCAAATGTGTTTAGTTTACAGTTGTGCGAGATTAAGAAATTATCTTGAAAGTTAAATAACCTTATTAAGCAAAGAAATAAGAACCCGTCTGTTTAGGTTCATAAATTTTCTTTAAATTCTTATAATTTTCTTGATAGCTATAAGCTTACAAGTATAAACTCAAATACTATACGATGTGTAAGTTGATCCCTAGTTTTACCTACTTCTCTACCGTTTATTTCAAGTGGACACACATTTACTTATTGTCTATAATACGCGCGAGAGTAATTTTTTGACTTGATGGTGAGATGAAATCCGTTCAAAATTTAGACGTGTTTACCATTTTTTATGGTTTTTATTTGATGAATGTAGGCATCCCTTGACTATACTCTTTCTTTTTTCTTTTTTTTTTAAAAATATAATTTATGCTTTCTTAACCTCTTCATTCTTAATCTCTTCCTGCTTGGCGACGACAACAGGAACGGCTGCAAAAGTAGCAGAAGCGGAAGGAGTAGCCTCACCTGCAGCAGCTGCGGCAGCTGCTTCCTTCAACTTCTTCTCCTTCTTCTCAGCCTTCTTATCCTTCTTGGGCTTCTGCTTCAACTGTGTCTCAATAGGAGGATAAGCAAGCTTGGTGAGTTCAATAAGGGCAGGGTCTTCAAAGGCCTTGCGGATAGGCTCCAACAATTCGTTAATGGCAGCAATAACACCAGCCTTAAGATCTCCGGGATGGACAGTCTTGTCGGCGAAGGCCTTTTCCAAAGACTCATAGTTATTGAATACCATGTTTCCACCGTACTGCTCGGGACGAATGGCGGTAAAGACAGGCTTGTTACCGTGGAGGGTCTTAAGAGGGAAATAGACTGACTTGACAAAAGAAAGAATACCGTTTTCGGCAATGTTACCCTCTTCACAGAATGCCTTTTTAATCTTCTTTTGGACATCCTTGGCGCTGTCAAGGAAATCAATCTTGGAGTCGGGATCAGAGGAAGACATCTTGGAGCCAGCCAAACCAGGTACCATGGCGTTCATTAAGTGAGAACGCTTCTTGTAACCCAACTGAGGCAAGTACTTCTCGGCATAGACAAAAATCTTGCGCTGATCAACACCACCAAACTGACAGTCCACACCAAGGTACTCCTCATCCAAAGCCTGCATACCGGGATACAACAAACCAGACAACAAGGCAGAGTCAACCTGCTTAACAACCTCAGCACCAGCCTTCTTGGCATCGTGCTCAGTCACACAAGCTGCAAGACGCAAGTTATCCATAGAATATTCACGGGACAACTCAAAGCTCGATCCAACAATAAATGTCAATTTTTCAATTGGGACACCGAGAGAAGTCAAGACAGCCTTGATGAGAGCCTCGTAGTACTTTACACGGTGACCAACGAGTTCCAATGGAGCTTTCATGTTGTCCAAAAAGGCATGCAAATCGGCCAAAAGAATCTTTACCTATCGACATCATATACATACATATGCTTTTTCTTGAATACTCTGCTGTTGTTTTCTCTGGCACTGGTAATTCTTAAACTATTTCATATGTATGTATGTATCTATTAGCTGTATTTCTTTTCATTACCTCGACACCAGCAGCCAAGAAGTCTGCAATCTTGGACATGGCAACAAAGTAACCAACATGAGGTTTGCCAGTGGGTGCAGTTCCCCAGTACATCTTCAAGTCACGCTCGGCGAGAATCTTCTTAATTTCATCACCACCGAGAACCTCCTGAAGGTTACGAGTAATAAGAGTGTACTTCTCTTCGGGAGTAAGGGATGCCATTCGAAAGAAGTTGAGTGGAATAAAAAAAAAGGGTAAAGGGGGAGGTCCGCGCAAGTGCTAATCAAAATTCTGACTCATATCAACTCAACTTGTCCCACCCCCCAAAAACAAAGCGTCAAAGCCACTTTCTGTGACCACTAGGATCCAATCACTCCCCCCATCTTCAACCTTCTTCGTACAATGGCTTTCAATACCCAATTTAAGCATTTCAATATATAGACTACAAATTGTGTAAAGATCCAAAAAACAAAAAATAAACCAAAGAAGCCATTTGCGATTCCTCGCATAATTCCATGTTCTTTTTCTTTTATAAAATATATGTATATATATATATTTATTACAATGTATAATACACACACATATATATACACAAATACGTATATGTACAGTATTGCTTTCTCTAAGTTCTATCAGAATAAAATAAATATTGTACATGTTCCCAGAATTTGCATAAAAATCCAAAAAAATATCCAATTGTTCAATTGATGAAATTATAAAAATAAAATGAAGACAAACAGACAACCAAACGAATAGTTTTTTTTTCTTTCTTTATGAAATGTGAGATTCTTTTTCTTTTGTTGTTGTAGGTTATTTTTGTTGCTCTTAACGGAGACGACGAGCTTCACGTTCGGATTCCAAGAGACACAAAATGTCGTTCTCACGGACGGGACCCTTGACGTTACGGATGATGCTACGGTTGGTATCATCCATGAACTCAACGCGGACCTGGGTGACACCACCACGGGATCCAGTACGGCCAAGAACCTTGGTAACCTTAGCGAGCTTAACGGGAGTCTTGGAAGTGTCCTGTAACGAATAAACACATTATTAAGTGGAACTATTATTATTACTTATAATATCTTAAAAAAAACAATGTGATGCAGATTGTGATTGGAAAATGAAAATGTATATTTGAAATATATATATCTAAGTGTTCGTATTTTCGAATATGTATAGGATCTTTTTAAGATTTCGTTTTGATGTTTCTGATATTTGTATTCATCCATTCATCCATTCGTTCGCTTGTGTGTGTGTGTTTGTCTCATCTCTTTGCAAATATCCATTCATTGATATCCATCCATTCACTCACCATATCTAAGGATCGTGAAGAAAGGGAAGGTTCAGATGGGTGTGCCGGCTTGGACTGATTTTGGTACTCCACTCCCAACTTTGGATTTTTTTATTTTTTTTATTTTTATTTTTGGTTTTTGGTTTTTGGTTTTTTGGTTTTTTTTTTCGGTAAATCTGTGTGTGTTGTGTGTGCATTGGAGATAAAGTCCCACAGTCAAATTCGAAATAGCATAGCCAAAATATCACCTGTAGAGATATGGCATCGACAGCACAGGCAACAGCACAGTGATAAGTCAGAAACGCACATCTCTGTCATTTTTTTTACACGCACAGGCATATAATAGCATAATCACAACCAGATATTTTTAAATGTCACATTCATATATTTGTGTCTTTAGAAAGAAAAATGAAGTCCACAGTACTTTTTATACAGTCAGATATAAGCCTTTACATATATAGATGCTGTTACAAGCCTCTTTAATTCTCTCAAACTATTAACGCACATACATATACATACACATGCATGTATGTGAGTTTTCAGTCTGGTTTTCTTTCTTTAGACTATCTGAGAAAGAGCTGGCGATGTCATCAAATTTTGATGTATTTTTATTATTATTATCAGAGAGAGAAGGAGGGAGAGGGAGAGAGAGAGAAAGGGAGGGAGAAATAATTCAACAAAAATGGAAAGATTCCCCCCCCCCCCACTACAATCCGCCCCCCCCCCTCCAATGCCAGACAACCCAGTCTTCTCTCTTTTTTTATATTTTATTTTTCAATTTTCTTGCAATTATTCTTTCTCAAACTGATGGATTCCCTGCTTGAGAAATCAGACGACGGTTGCGAAGATAATGTACCTACACGCCAGAGTTCAAAGTTGTCCTTAGGTTCTTCTCCATCAGTGTTGAGTGCAGAGGATGGTGAAGGATTGCTTCATTTTGCACAGGGAATTGAAGAAGAAGAGGAGGACGATGACGAACTATTTGCTTACCACGCAGACTCCCCAGAACCTCTTTCTAATGAAGCCACTGACATTGAACACGAAAATGACGACGACGACGGCCAATACTCGGCCTCGCCTCTTTCATCTGTCCCAGACGATTTCCCACTCTCAAGGTCAGCTTCACCAGAACCTGGAGAGGACGATCTCGCAATACGAAAACGAAAAATAGAGAATCCTGAAGAAGACGAAGACGACGAAGAAGAGGATGAGGACGAGCCTACAGTAAAAAAGCCACGTTCATTGTTGGATTTGGAGTTTGTGGCAATGGAGGTGGATAAGGAAACAGAAGTTGAATCTGTACATCCACTCCATGTAAACGAAACTGAAAAGACACCTCAAAACAACAAAGTGACGCCTGCCAAGCGCTTGGATTCCAAAGAGGTTGATACACGTAGTAGACGGCGGTCGATACGCGGCGAGCCTTTGGAGAAACAGGGAGAGGATGAATCACCAGAGGAAGATGAAGAAGAGGTACCAGAAACACCTGAGGAAAAGGGCAAAAGGCTATCGCTTGACACGGAACCAAGGCCGATCAAAACAACACGTTCAAAAGCCCAGTCTCCGACTGAGGACAAGTTTAATTTTATGAGTCCTATGTTTTGTGGTGAGTGAAAAAGTGTACATCTTTAAATCTGTATAGATGTGCATATTGTATGTATAATACTTATTATACGATATATACATATACATATGCATACACACACATACACACGATTTCTTATTATTATTATTATTATTATTTTCTGGAAAGAACAACCAATGGAAGAAGAGGAAGAGGAAGAGGAAGATTTGGATAGTCAGCGGAGGCACAACGATGCATTGAAAGCCCTGACATTTATTGAGGTTGAATTTGCAAGACTAAGAGACAAGTAAGTTGGTAAGATAGGATTGAATTTGAGACTAATGATGTGCATAGAATGTATGAAGAGAAGATGAATGAACTCAATGAAGAAGCAACCATGATAGCCAATGGTAATATATAATTACATTAAATTAGATTAAATGAATGAATGGTTGTTTGTAATACCAAGGAAAATAATTCAAATATATATTAATTACTTATTGTACTTTTTTTTTATTGTGCTATAAACTAGGCACACATCCCGAACTGGTGGCTTTGATGGAGGAAATTGAAGCAAAGAAGGGAAAACGGATTCGGGAAGCCGAAGCGTGGCGAGCATGTCAACACAATAACTTTAGGCAACAGTTTGAGGGGGTTGCCTACCAAGCTAATATGCATTTCGCTGTAAGTTTCGATTTTTGCTATACATGATGTGCTAGTACTTTATGAGTTAATTCGAGTAAATGGTTTTGATAGTCAAAGAAGAACGCTTTGAGACGGGAAATATTAGCTTCATTGAATGGGAAAAGATTTTCGATGGAGAATGAAAGGGCAAAACTCAACGATGTTACGCCAGGTAGATAATTGTTATATCTTATTTTGGTTTGATTGAGTTTGGAAGATTCTTGTGGGATTCTTATTAATCTAAAAAGATTATCTTTTCTATATTAATCCTTGTAGATCGGCCATTGTCTGACCCTGCAGTACTTTTACTGCGAAAGAGGCATCAAAAGGAAGAGTCTGGTGAATTACAAGACATAAAGGAGACCATTGGGTTTCCTATGGCACCTCCGGCTACAGGACTATCGAATAAAGATATTGAAGAAGACCTACTTGCCTTACGGGTAAGTTGATTGAAAATACCGTCTTTTTTTTCCTTGAAAATATTCACTTCTTTACAGAGTCGATAGTATGAAATAATCCCAATTCCTTTTTTTCTTAATTCACTACCTACCTCTTTTTTCCACTACACTCACATATACACATATATACACTCACTCACTATCACACACACATGCATGCACACACGCACGCACGCGCACACACACATATCAAGAAAAAAAAACAACCTCTTTTATTATTATTATTAGTATTATTAATATTACCTGTATACATCTTTTGTTCTTCTTCTTTAAAATACTCCAAGAGAATATATATATATATATATAAAATATATTGTGTATTATTTTATGTTACCATTATCATTATCATTATCACTATTTCCCCCTCCACCCCCTCATTTTTTGACAACCTTGTCGATCTTTCTTATTTTTTTTCTTTGTATTTTTATATTTTTTTTATACTTTACTTTAGGTGACACTCCACACGTGTCACTTTACACGCAAAACTGGGTCCGATCTTCAATTGATTTTTCTATAGATAGGTTGAGTCCGTTTCTAAACTACCAAGAAGTAAGAAGCTAACTCCATGGTTCTCTTGTTCTGGGTTCTCATTCCAATCTCCGTTTTCTACATCCTATTTTCTTTTCCTTTCTTTATTTTATTGACTGTTGTTTGTTTTTTCGTTTGGTTGGTGGAATCCCAATGTCAACCACATCACTTCCTCATCAAAGGTCATCATCCAATTCGAGCGATTTGTTACCTTTACCCCGAGACCTCGATGAAGATTCCTTTTCCAGAGACCTCATTCACCAATTTGACAAGAAGCGGTCTCGGCTGCGATTAGAAATGGTTGAGCTCGAGGTGAGCATCTTCCTATAGATGACTTTCGGACATATCCCTTTTTAAGGGACAATGTATATTTATACATGTGTATTTGTGTTTGTGTGTGGCTGAACTTGACAGTTTTTCTATAATAATAATAGTATTATTAATATTTCTTTGTCTTTTTGTTTTTTTTTTTAAAATAAGAAACTCTTAATAATAATATACTCACCTTTTTCTCCTTTTTTGTCTGTGTCTATTTTGCCATAAGAATAGCCACGATGCTCCTTCTCTTCATTCTTCTGCAACTCCACCCACCATGCTCACAGTCTCTCCTTCCCCACCAACACCAACACCAGCACCAGCACCGCCACCGTCCACCACTAGCACTTCGCCTGACCCAACAAACCGTCGTCGGTCTGCAGGAGATCTCCTCCGTAGATCGTCTGCTTATTTTAAATCCAAGCTAGACGCGTTCAAGGTGTCCCGATCGCACGACAATCTTAGAGATGTTCACTCGATTCATGATCCCACCCCTTCAAAAACTCTCGGAATAAGGCACTTGAAAAAAAAGCCTACTCGCCAAGACTTATTTTCATTATCATCAACGTCTTTACCTCCACCTGCCAAAATTGCTATCAATACCACAATTGCTATTCCTCAGTTTCAACACAATACCCACCATCAGACACAGCAAGCAACTCTGCATGCTCACTTTGGTGCGATTAAACCACCTGTAATATCTCAATACCCACCAAAGCCATTGCGGTATTCCCCTGTAGACCCACCCAACGACGACCATAGACCGATTGTCCATCGAATTTCATTGCCACTATTACGTAGAAATCAGCCTGACCCTAATGAAGGCGGGACGACCCGTAGACGATCAGATACTGAGGCCACTCACCAGAAGAAAAAGGCAATAAATACTCGAAAGAGTAAAAAAGGCAAAGAAAGAGCTAATCTTGCAGAAGGATCAGCACTCTGAAACACACACACAAAACAACAACATACAAAACCAAAAACCAAAATTACGAACCAAAAAAAAAAAACGATAGACAAACACACAAACTTGCACTTGCACTTGTACTTGCACTTGCACTGACTTACACACTCACTTACTCCTTTACTTTTGCACACACTTATACTCTTGCACACTTGTTTAACCACTAGCATTTATTTAACACCAATCAATCAACCACATAGAACATTCCTTCTTACAAAACACTCTCTTTTTTTATATATCTTCACTTTGCATTCAACATATAAGCCCGATACATTTTATTGATTTCTCTTTTCTATAGACGACATGCTCTTTTCTTCTCATATTTATTATTTCATTCATCCATTTCTTTATATGCACATCAAAATGAAATATATATATATTAATAATTAATAGTTAATAATAGTAATAATAGTAATAATAATAATAGCTCTAATAGCTCTAATAATCTGCATCATTTCCATCTGTACTTAACCTAATATACATATATACCTTGGTAATAATTTTTCAAATATATTTGAATATTTATACACAAGGTATTTGCTCGCTTTTATTTTCATTTTCATTTTTTTGATTGATTAATATATATATATACATAATATTACCCTTGAGGGCATGCCAAAAATTGACCAGCAGGTTCAGTAAAGAACCACTGGTACATAAATCACGTTTACGTGTTGGGATCGGCAGTTGCTCATCGGTAGTGACCTCATGTGAACAAGCATTCCCCCTTGAAGAAGAACAAAGGAAAAACAAAAACATTTGCCACCTACTGGATACTTTATTACGTTTCTCTGTGACGGTTTATGTTTATCGTCGTGATGCCGTATCACCTGTGTGTATGTGTGGGCATGAATGACGTCGATCTTATCTAGAAATGAAATGCTATAATAAGCTTCTACAGATTTATTCATAGTCAAATACATATTCAGAAAAAAAAAGATAAATTCTACTACCACTATTACCACTACTAATAATAATATTAATAATAAGGAAGAACATATCATATCTCATTGTGGCTTAATTATGGACGTCTCATTCTTACTGTCAAGTGCCATGGTGCTTGGCCCTGTCGTTGGCTATGTTGACCAAGTAAATTCAATAGACGAATATTTAAAAGAAAAAAACAGAATCTTTTAAAAAATATGCATCAGAAGCTCATTGGTATTATAGTATGCCATCATTCGCAAGACACAATCGAGTGCAGGTTTCAACTCGGCCACATGTGCAATTCTACTGTTTGCAAAGTAAAGATGTTCAAGAGATTATATATATACATATATATATACTTAAAAAAAAAGAAAAGAAATAGAAAAAGTATCACTGGGTGTCTATATTTAATGGCCTTGAACTCACAATTATGTATGCATATTAAATTTTATGTATGCATATAATACATATATAAATATAGTATTCTACGTATATTTTTCTGGTAATATATACACATATACGCATATACACATATATACACACACAATACGTATATATATATATATGTATGTCTATGTGTGTATTTGTATAGATTATGTATGCATATTGACTTGAATTTTTCTAAAAGGGTAGGCAAGCGGTTTGATACTACACTTCTAGTCCAGTCGATTGTCATGATCCTGGCCCAGTTGATCCTATTACAGGTTGTAGTCGAATATCAGCATTCCAGCCCGTCTACTCTTTACGGAGACGTTCGGTCTTCCTTCTCTTCTAGTTCATTGTTGGACGAAGACCTCCAGGCCGAAGCCGAAGGATATGAAAGCCGTCGTCCGTGGTACAGACTCCGATTCTGGCATTGGGATCATTACCTCGACTATGTTAATTGCTTATTAGCCTTTACGACCATTATTGCCTTGTTGTATTTCTTTTTACGTTCCTATCCAGCATTCATTGAGGTGCTTGGTGCCTTGAGTTTAGGTATCGAAAGTACACTTCCAATGCCCCAATGCATCTCGAGCTTTAGACGAAAATCTACTTCGGGATTCAGTAAATTGGTTCTTGCCAGTTGGGTAAGATAATAAATAAACTAAAAAGAAGAACGAGAACGAGAACAAGAAATTATAGCATTAGCCATAGCAATTACAACAAGCAGCAAATTATAGATATGATAATATGATGTACCATGATACTAATCCAACAATCTTAGTTTTTGGGAGATGGATTCAAGCTTTTTTACTTCATTTATACAAACTCTCCCCTTCAGTTTATTATTTGTGGTGCCATTCAGCTCTCTATTGACACTATGATTGTAGTCGAGTTTGTCATATTTTCGTCCCGTGTCAAGAAATGGATGGGTACCTCAACAAGTTGGTTGCGTGTGGGTGACGAGAATGGTATGTCCCACTTCTAAAAAGTTGCCAGGACAAATGCTCAAATTTGCTTTTGTTTTTTCTTACTTACTTACTCACCAAAACTCTGCTCAACGCTATGTGAATTGAAGATCCCGCTTTCTTGCATGACGATAGTGAACATTGAACATTGAAACCTGAAACTATAACTTTATTACAAGTCAACTTTATTTATCATTTTTATAAAATAAACAAATCAAGTAAAGAAGAATCCTTGAAATATATTTTATTTTTCGATGGAGTTAACTTTTAAGAATATTCATCCTATATATATCTTTATTTCATAATACTTCTTTCAAGTCCTCCTTTTTGTTTCGTAATAAAAACTTTTCTTGATTCTCAAGTAACACCAAATATCTCTTGAATCTATAATAATTAAAATATTTTTGTGTTTCAAAATTTATTTATACCAAATAAACATGCAAACATACAAACATACATATAATAGATATATAGTTATTTTATAATATTGATTATATTGCTTGTACGCATTATTTGCAAACATTAACACTGCTAATGAATATTAACAATAATTTCAATAATATCAATAACAAATTGTTCGCCATATAATAATATCCATCAATATACAGATTTGCTTGCTTCTTTGTACAGAAATACTGTAATAACCAAAGTACAGTGTAAAATGAACTTGAACCCCCTTTGTTCCAACGTAGACTGATGATTGGCTGATATAACAAGCCTCCCAAACGGTTTGTTAGATGATTATAATACCTTTTTTATGTGATATATTCCACATATATACATATATCTTGGATAAGATGCTCAGTCTAGCTCTAATACTATCTAGTGCAATAATACTTCATTAGATTTTTTTTAATTATTCACTATTGTGGGATTTATTAAAAAAGAATAAGATTGAAATCTTCAAAAAAGAAAAATATCAGGTACGTGACATCACACGCCACCCGTTTATACACATGTGTATTGTAAAAAAAAATGAAGAGGAAAAAAATTAACTGCCACAAAAATTTTTTCCAGACAAAAGCATAGCCAACAAGTGCAAAGAAGTCTTCCTTCTCTTTTTTTGCCGCTTCCCCCCTTCAGCCAAGTGCAAAGTTTGTCAGGTAAGATTAACGGACGAACAAGGTCCTTCTGTACATCAAACAGAAAAAAGGAGAGAACACCCCGGGATTACGACAAACGAAACCCCTCCTCTTCATCCTTTCTCGACCTGATCGCCATCAATCGCCAACTCTCTTCATCATCAAACTTATTGTTTTTGTTTATATTTTTTATGTACTCCTGCTGTTTAATATTATCAATATATTTACCGCTGTCATTACTACAACTACTATCCTCCATTCTCATCGATATGACGCCTACAGCATGCCTCACTCTTTCGGTCGTAAGTATCCTTTCTGTTCATGATCATGAAAAAAAACAGAAACTATGAACAAGTGGAAAATAATAACAAAAATCATATTCAATCACACCTCCTTAACTCTATTTTGCTTTTTCTATTACTATTATCATCATACAGTCCGTGCTCGCACCCGTCACATGTTCTCGCGCAAGTTCCGCGACCATGGTGCTATCCCCTTGTCTACCTACTTGACCATCTACAAGACTGGTGACATCGTTGACATCAAGGCCAACGCTGCTGTCCAGAAGGGTATGCCCCACAAGTTCTACCACGGTCGCACTGGTGTCGTCTACAACGTCACCAAGTCCGCTGTTGGTGTCATCATCAACAAGCGTGTTGGCAACCGCTACATCGAGAAGCGTGTCAACATCCGTGTTGAGCACATCAAGCACTCCAAGTGCCGTCAGGAGTTCTTGGACCGCGTCAAGGAGAACGCCCAGAAGAAGCAGGCTGCCAAGGATGCTGGTGGTAAGTTTTGTGAAAATTTTAGTAAAAAAATTTTTATAAAAAAAAGGGTGGCTTTGATTGAATGAGGTTCCTGATATCTATTGTTTTTTTAACTTCTTTTACAGTTATCGTCAGCATGAAGAGAGCTCCCGTCCAGCCTCGCACTGCCCGTTACGTCTCTACTGCTAAGAACGTTCCCCAGACCATCACTGCCATCCCTTACGAGACCCTTTTGTAAATAAAAGTGATTCTCTCCATCATTTTTTATTAAAAAAGATTCAACATTTTGTTTGGCTTGTGGCTGTTCAATAAATGAAAACAATAATATAGAAAAAAAAAACAGTCAAATCAATTTTACCAAATCCATTTTTTTTATCAAAAATGTTGGATGAGAAAACAATAAGAACTCACACAAATCGGCATTGTCTATGACAGGCATTTGGTTGTGCATCCTGTTTGTGCTATAAAGTGAATAGTGTATTTAAAGAGTCTAAATATCTTGCTTTGTTTTTTATTTTACTTTAAAGCAAATTACAACCAACTTTAACATCATTATCATATGGTCAAAAAAAAACCTGTTACAGTGGTTGTAATAAGACAGCCCATACTGATCAATGAAAATACACTCCACACTACACTATCTATCTCTTCTATATGTTTAAAAATATAGGTCAGAATTGCAGGAAAAATAATATACAAGGACTATGCCAACACAAGCCATTCGGTTGTGCTGTGAGAAGCGTAATCTGCCCAAATTCCTAGCAGAAATGGCATGGCAAACAACAATACTACCACAAAAAAGTTCCATACACTTTCTTCATATGGATCCAGGGGTTCTTCAGTATTTGTATAAATGTTCAATCCCTGGAGTACCTGGTAAAGAAAGGAGCCTTTGTGTATAACGGCATCGCAATATTCATTTGCTGTCTCGTTTTGTCCTTCAAGAGGACGAGACGTACAACCGAAGTCTTTATCCAAGTGGGTATCTGAAGCAGGTGTACAAGTGTTGTCAGAAGATATATTTTGTTTTGGATGACCTGGTCTATAACGAACACTAAAGGCGAATTCTTGAGTGTGTAGAGCTAAGATTGAGAGAGTTTGGCCCATTGACATGATCATGTAAACCAAGAGCACCGACTTGATCCATTTGTTTTCATTGTTGGGATTTAGACATTCGATTACGGTGTATCCCAACTGTACCAAGGTAATAAACACTTCTTTGTAAGGAACTCTATCCACCGAACTGGAGTCGTAAAGCTGGTCTAACATGGTAGTCGGCAAGTAACGCACCACACTGGGTGCAACACTTGCCTGATATTTACAGGCTACTCCAAGACCAATGACCCTTATTTGGTCTGTCTTTATATAGTTTAGATCTTCCAGTAGAGTTTCGTCAAGTAAATCAAACCCAACGAAAAGACTTGAGTTGAGAAGGCAGTGTTTTAGTTTTTTTGCTTTGTCGGGACCAAGACTCTGTAGAAGAGCAGCAAGATATGTTGCATTGTCGTGGTCTTCGATGTTAAACTCTTGAGTCTTATTTCCATAATCCACAAGCCAATCGCTTTTCCGTTGAGTCTTTTGTTGAACCATATTGAGGTTAGCTTTCATTGGATTACTTTCCAATTCAATGTCATTTTGCGCAGAAAAGGATCCAAAGTAAGATCCAGAAGGTTCACCCGCGATAGTGTGTATAATATTGTCATCAGCCTCTTCCGATATTGTTTTGCTGTACACCTCAAGTGGTTTCTTAAAGTTTTCGATTCCAAGGGAGCGATCCCCATACCAGGCCGCTGATATGTGATGGGAAACTAGACTACCTGCAAATGTCGGAAAGGCTAGGAATAAAAACCGTTCTCCAAAAGTACCAGAAGATATTGTATTCATGGAAGGTCGGATTACCATACTGTGAGCCAGATAAGCAAACACAATAGCTTTGATAACGGAAAATGCGACTACATTAGAGTAGGTTGCGCGAGTATCTTCTGTCGTGTTTTCTGGTAAACCATAGCATTCTAGTACAGAAATGTATAGTAGCGCGCAGGTTCCAAATGATCTTCTTAGCCGAGGCATTGTAAAATATTATTTAAGAGGATAGAAAGAGGTATTCTAAGGAACATTTTTCCTGAAAGAAAGTTAAAAAACAATTGCGGCTACACTGTGTGCGCATGTGGATGCTACACAATATATGAGTGGTTGCTTCCAAGTTAAGCAATATTTGCTCTTATATTTTGGTTCTGAAAATGGTAAAACTAATCCGAACAAGAAATTGCTCAGTAATGAGTATCGCCTGTTTGCTTAGAGATGTGGGGTTCAGTTCTGTGTGTGCCAGTTAGGACTTGAAAGGATATGGATGTCATTTCTTTCAGTCATTGTGCGTGTGCGTGTGTTCATTTGAACTTCTCATTTTATTTTATAGTAACAGTGTCCATTAAATGGGCTCAAAAATATTCTTTCGATTTTTCTGCAGTGTTTTTCCGATCCCTCATTGAACCGTAAAGGCGTTTTCTATTCTTCTATATATCCAATTTTTCTTTTTGGTCCATATCGATGATCCTATTTGGCATCTCAGCCACACTTGGCCGTATTCTGTGTGGGGTCCCATTGTATATATTTACAAACAAACCCTTAGCTACTTTCATCTCTATTTGTCCTCTGCTTCTTATCTGATATTATTATTGTGTATTCATTTTTGACCAAGTTTCTTTTCTTCTTTTCTCCTTTATATCCTTGATTTTTACTCGCAATAGTCCACCACGTCAACTTGATCTCACTTTATTATAGAAAAGCGCAAAGTCTATACAATTAAATGTACAAAGAGATAAATAGAAAGCTCAATATCAAGTCATTGTATTCTTATATGATATATACCAACTTATATTTAAATAATTTAATATACCCTAAAATATCCTTCCTTCCAGAAAAAGAAAAGTAAAATAAAATTTGAAGTACAAGAATTTTCAAAGAAAAAAATACAGTCAATGGTCTTAAATTTGCTCTGAGAAAGATAATGCGGCCAACCAGAATGAGAAAGTACTTATCAATGGTGCTCACATACTTATATAATACCCAACATGGTTAAAAGTACAAGACTAATTCTATGGTCAGTAGCTGAAGGGATAGTCAAGAGATTCTGGATATTCCAAGAAATTTTATTTTTACTTATATAAATATATCGAGTTATTTAAAGTTACGGTGCATAATATGTATATTTTATTACAAAAGAGTGGGCTAACTTGGACTACTTATCAATATCACACTCATGATTTTCCAAAAATAAAAAAATTGATCCAAATAGGTTAAAATTAAATTATAAGTAATTATTTACCATCGTATATTCCAATCTACTATAAATTACTCATGTAGTAATGTGTTCTTACAAGATATTTAAGTCATGTAAATATCATTGAGTGTATCTAATATCACCAAATATCTCTATTAAATAACTATTTTTTATTTGAAAATAAAATAAAATTCAAAAGTAGAAGAGAGAGAGGGAGAGAGAGAGAATGCTTCTTTAGGACTTTATTAACAAACTTTAAACAAGGAATTGTGGGGTTTAACATGGTAAAGTCCAAATACACTGTTAGATATGTATTACTATATGATATTATAGCTTAGCACTGTTATCGATTGTATTTATTGTCTCAACTTTTATCATAGTAATCCATTAACCGCACATACTATTACTGCTTATTATTACTATTGATGTCATTCTATATTTCTCTTTACTTACTATAGAGAAGTAATGAATCAGTTAATTAAAGTATCTTTTTGATTTGTTGCCTTGCAATTATCATGAATAAGCTTCATTTTTTATTTTTGCACTATCCTACTAATCTAAAGAAGAAACAGCTAAATATATTATACATAACTCTCCGCAGTCACGTATACGACAGGATTATTATGGATTCTACATTCATCAAAGATATATTTTAATAATAGCATCAGCAATAAGAATAAAGGCCACATTAAATTCATGTGAAAATATCATCTACATGTTTAGCGATTGAATAGCAAGAAAGAAACCTTTCTAGCAATAAAATCTACAAGAGTCGAATCTCACAGGTCGATCAATTATTTATCGAAAATCATGTGTGCCTATTAATATCTTTAGACACTACAATTTTAATAACAACGTGTATCCCACTAGCAATAATATATGCTTACCTCTGGAAAAAGCAAACAAACAAACAAATACATAATTGATATCGTAACACATTTTATATTACATGACGATGTTTAACACATATTGCTATCAGATTTAATATCTTGTGATATACTATAAAAGCCTTGAAGCTAAATCCATTTAAGTTGTACAGTTAAATATACTAAGATTTTATGTACAGGATGTCTATAAGCTGTGAAATAAACTCTTGCGAGTTAATGAAGGGCTCCCAAAGAAAACCAACTTTTCCAGCTGTTATAAAATGCTCTGATTCAATTTACATATGCAAGTTCTGCATTATAAATATTTTACTTATTTTCATATATAAGCAAGATTTTACTATATTTCAATTTCTCAACCTCTCTAATACTTAATACTTGGGTCAATCACACCATGACAATCCAGTCTCTTCTCACCGACTCGTTCTCCTTTCTCAGCTTTACTTACTGCTCAATTTTGAAATCCTTTGAGGGAGCCAAGCCAATAAGAGATTCTCCAGTGGTTTCCAAGCCAGTCCATAGAGAACTATCGGTGCGATTTTCAAACGTTGTTGCTATAAATAAGTCTTCACTTATAATTATTATGGATGAAAGACGACAAGGTGCCATAAAGGAAGTTTATGATCGTTACATTGGCCGATTCAAGGACTAGAAAGTCTTCTTGATATTATAATACTTTATACGCTTATATACTTTTATATTTGTATACTTGTGTATGTGTGTATGTTTATTTATTTTTGCATTTTACTTTTTAAATAAAAGAGCCCTATTAACTATATTATACGCCAATGTTCAGATAAAGAGAATGCCCAAGACAAGAAGCAAGGATAAAAAAAACCATTTAATAAGAGCCTTATACAAAAATCCAACGGCTTTTGGCTTCAAAGCAAATAAAAACCAATTTCATCCCATGTGGCGTAGAAAGAATAAAAGGCTTATAGCATAAATAGAAAGCAGTACCAGCTCCAAATATAACTGATAGTGCCACTTTTAATAAGTATTCCCGAAATGAGAAGATTTTTAAACCGGTTGAAATACTTTTCGAAAACACTTTTATTCATTAACTCATATATGAAAATATATACAAAAGTCATTTCTATCGACCTAGATTAATGGTTTGTCTTTTATTGATAGTATATAAGTTTCCCAATCTCTTCAAAATTAGGTGGAAATATAAATACATCTTTGTAGTGGCTTAATGAGAATTGACGATATTGAAATGGCAAAAGCATAGTATCTTTTAAATATTAGTACCTAAACAAAAAAGAAAACTGACATATGAACAATCTATACTAATGAATAGGCCGTAATACCCGGCACGCATCAAAGTTACACTCCACTCCATGGAATTCATTATGAAAATGTACCCCCTTTATAATATTTACGTCTTGGCAATTTAATATACCTTAATATCTGTCAGCTCACCTTTAAGGATTGCAATGTAAAAGCTGTCTGTACATCTTTGGCGAGTTGTTATCATACATGATGTTAAAGGATATGCTTTTTAGCTTATCAGTACTTGTCTACTATTCTTATTTGAATTCAAATCATACTTTCCACTGTGAATATAATTGCGCATGTGTTTGTGTAATAACGAATGAAGGATACCAGGCATTTACTAATATTCAAAGTACAAAAATGTTTATAAAAAAGGATTATTGTTTTATAAATCAATCCAAATTAACTTTTTTTTTTCTTGTGCACAGTCTGTGTATTCAATCCACATTATGTCTTTGCTGCCTCTCTTTCAAACATATATTTCTTTATTCCTTCTCATCTTTTATTAACCTTCGTTTTTCTTTCGCCTTTTACCTTTTGATTCTTGCATCTTTCTTTTTCTCTCTTTTCTTTCTCTGATTTCAACACATCCCCTTTACAATTTCCATCCAGATTAGCCAAAATTTAATACTATATAATTCACGCCATCGGCATCATCAAGCATTATTCTGAAATTTATATACTTTATAGACAAAAACAGCATCTATAGTTAAACACGGTTATCAATACCACTTTAGAATATACGAATAGTATTTTATTTATTTTTATGTTTACTCGATTAGATTAATTTCTTCTTATAAATGAGTCCACCTAATTACAACATTGACATCAATCAAGTAAAAAAAAAAAGTTTAAAAACGTGTTTTTTTTTATTAAAGTTGACAATAGCTAAGAAATACTTTATTTATTTATTTAAAGCTATATATAAAGAAACTATTCTATTTGATTTAATTTCACTTAATGTTCTTTTACATGAGTAAAAGAATAAAAAGCATGACACCAAGTTCTTTGTCCCCGCATTACGCGGCTCAATCTCCTTCAGGACGTAAACCTGACTTGGTAGCGAAGGAGGTGCTGGAATGGTGGCAAACCAACGGAAAGCACCCGTTCATCCAGCCCCACATCTCGTCACCGAGTAATGTGGGTGCGAACTCGCCAGAGAACTTAACACTAGGTGATAAGGTCCAGCTCATTCGACTACCAGTAGCTTCACCGTCAGCCGTTAAAGAGTTCAGTCAGGTTAGCAGTGAAGAGCCAGCACATCTCACCACAGGTTAGACCTCCCTCCCCCCAGCATCATGATTCCACATTGGCGATGCGATGTACACAGTAGTCCTTCCAAAAATGAAAAGAGACCATGCCCCACGACTTCTCAGAATTAACTGAGCTGGCGAGTAACAACTTTCACTTTCCGATGCTTGTAGCATGGAAGAATCTCCCTGCAACGGTCGCAAGAGACGCCTCACTATGAAACCGGGACTGTTGTTGCTCAAGGAGAAAACAAACGACACGCGTTGGAGGGGGTCTATAAGTAACAGAAATTTTTTTCATCTGCGATTAAAGTTTAGGACTGCGCTTTTTGTCAGTATTAGATACCCACGTCAGAGCAAACGTGATATAGCTGTATATTATTTTTCTGAGCTCGTGTAACTGTTCTACAGCAGAATAAACAACTAATAATATTTACTCAAATTACTATCGAATATGACTTTTCAAAGTGAATCAAAGTAAAGCAAAGAAGCAAAGAAGCAAGGAAGGGTTCGGTATTTATTGGTGTAGCAATAACTCTCAAAGTGGAGTACAAGTTTCTATAACGGCGATTTGTATGTTACTCTAAGCTGGTCTGTGCACTTTTTATTCGATGGTACACTAATTTATTTTCTTATTTTGCTCGTACAAGAAGACCCAAAAGAGACCTAACGATCATTAGAAATTAAACCCAAATAAATATCAAAGTTATATCAAATAATAAGTAAAAGGCAGGAAATAAAGCAAAAAGTACGTATGTATATTATCTAAATCACAACACAGTAGGTGACGGGATTTTGAATTTCAGGTTGAGTTTTGTTGAAATAAGATTATATCAATGATTGAAAGTATCAAGATGATTTGCCAAGGGAATAAGTGATTACCTTAAGGTATCTGGGGATTATGGTATAGAATATATCAGACACTACTAACAATTCTTTTTTTGAAGGGCTCTATATACGAATAGCTGACATATATAAATAAAAATGAAGGCAACTAGGAAATTAATACTACTTGTGGTATACACACCACAATTGAATGAAGAACAGACCCCACAACCAAACACTGGTTCCTTCTTGCTAATGAACCTGGGAAGTTAACAATCTCCGGAACTGTTACACACCAGGCACACGTACACTACACACTCATACAGTGTAAACCAACCATTACACAACAGGGATTTTAATTACAGGGATTTTAATAGTAGCAGATATAAACAATATTATTTTGTCTCTTTAATAAATAACACTCTCACAGTATCTACTTTTCCCATTATTGAGATACTAGCCCATAAACAATCCCGAATACATAACTACTGAAGAAATCAAATTTTATTCTTGTTTTAAGAGGTGTAACTGGCACTGACAGGCCAGCTATTCTGGACTATGTCATTATGAGAAGAAAAAATGGGTGATTCAGAGGACGCTTTTAAAAATTCATATGATATTTTCTAAGACCACTCTCTGAAACAGTCTTTTTTGTATTGTGTAATATAATTAAATATACCATAAAAGATAAACCGTTTACCAAAGGTAATGCTGTTCTCACAGCAACAATAACTTGGTACTTCATTGAGGCATACACCTACAATTGTGTTGGTAATACTGTCTACAATCAAGTGAAGCAGTTACTGCGACAGAATTTATACTTTACAAAAAGAAATATCATATAACTATAATATTATTTTCAAAGAAAAAAAAAGATTACTTGATATTAATCCCTCTATATCTCTTTTTATTAAATAATAAAATATTGATCTCTCATCAAATTTATTTCTCTTGCTTTGCTTTTAATTTATTGGTTTTTCAATACTAAAGAATTGCAGAATTTTGGATTTGAATATTGAAATGATTTAGAAAAAAATAATACTTCACTTGGCTTGCACTATACAGCTACGCATATGATAAAAAAAGGATAGCCAGTAACAATTATAGTCATAAAATTAGTTTATCATCGAATAAAAGAACTATAGTTATTCGATTGGTAGTTTAAAGCCAATTTCTAAATGAACAGTATTCTAGCCAAGTATACATATAATTGACATTTGGTATATGGAACTTGCAATTAATATTTATCTTGATAGAAGGACGTAAATATTATGAAGTACGAATATCTCCATATAATTTTCTTTAATCCAAGATTATTGTTTTTTTAATATAATATATATCTATCAAATAAATTTATTAATCTGTTTTTACATTAATGACAAAAGTTTCACGATATGGTATATAAATTAAACAGCGTACTTATTAGTTATGTAGACCATATTATATGCTCATAAAACTTCTTGTACCAGTATATTTTAATACGATCTATTGTTAATTTCCTGTAGTGTGGCCTTGCATACATACACGGTCAATTTCTAACCATAAAATGCTGTATGCATTAATATCCTAGTAATTATTAGCTTTTGAAATGTCTTATATTTTAATAGCTAGCTTCCATGACAGGTAAATTTATTAGTGGTTACTTTCACCCGTTAAAACCCATGGTGTTGTGAGCATCAGTATCAAAAAGAATACTTCATATTGCATGATACAAAATGGTATTAATAGATAAATAATACGCGCTACTAATTGGTATTCAAACGAACATATGTATTATCCAAAGTGGCGGTCAATTTATTCAGATCCACAGTCTCACATCGACGGTACATTTGGATCCTTATATAAAGGCGTTCTTTCCGTTGATTACTTGTTCCTCATCTTGACACTTATTTTTATTAAGTTTCTTTCCAATGTCTACCCAATCCATCCTTATAAGCGAATTTTCTTCTGCCAGTACTTGGTACTGTGAGATGATAGACTCTCTGGAGATTGGGTCTGCAACTGTGAAAGAACCAGTGGCATCTAGCCAACAGCCAAGGGCACGATCAGTGCGATTTTCAAATATTGTTTCTATAAACAATTCAGCCAATACAACTGTCTTGAACGGAAGTGGAATTGGTCAAGCTCAGTCCACATACCAGCAGAATATCAGAGCTTCTTCTCCTCCTCCTTCATCACCATCACCTTCGTCTTCTTCTACTTCTACTTCTTAATATACTATCTCTATCTCTATTCATTTACTCTATAATAAACTGTATATATATATATATATATATATATATATAATATGGCTTAATTGATTGTATAAAGTTATTAATCTTCTAAAATAATTTGTATCTATCTTGAATATAACTAAAGTTCTTTAATGTTTTGATTTGATATTAATATTTTACACATGCCTTACAACTTCCAGGAAGCCGACAAATATTTTATCCTCCTAAATACTTCTTGTATTGATGAAATAAACAAACTGGAGAGGCCGTATATTTAAGAACAATCGAATTGTTACATCCAGCACAAATATTAATACAAAATCATAATAATATGTAATAATAAATCCAACCTTTGCCAATTTTTTTCTTTTCTTTTTCTTGAGCACATAATTATAACCCTGCCCATGATTGATACATATTAGATTCTGCCTTACCAAGTATATTGATTTTTTTGTTAGCTTTGGTAGTTGTATAAATTTGTCTTCATATAAGTTAAAATCGTAGCAACAAACTGTATATTATCTACATTTTACATAATTGACTTAATTAGATAAGGTCTTATATTTAAAAGGTTCGTTTGTACCATATGGGTTTTTGTTAACTGATTTCCATGCTATTAAAGAGGTAGATAAGATGTTGAAGTATTTAATTTGTAATTTGTAATGCACTTAAGTTGGATTATATAACTGTACGTATGATAAAGAAGAAGAATACTTAACCCTTATAGTCAAATAACATAAATATAGTTATTCGATTGGTAGTTTAAAGTCAATTTCTAAATGAACAGTATTCTAGCCAAGTATACATATAGTTGACATTTGGTATATGGAACTTGCAATTAATATTTATCTTGATAGAAGGACGTAAATATTATGAAGTAAAAACATCTCCATATAATTTTCTTTAATTCAGACTTATTGTTTTTCTAATATAATATATATCCATCAAATAAATTTATTTATCTGTTTTTACATTAATGACAAAAGTTTCACGCTATAGTATATATAATAAGAAGCGTACATGTTGATAATGTCAAGCGTATTACATGTCCATACAACTTGCTGTGTCTATACATTTTAATATGATCTACTGTTAATTTCTTATAGTGTGGCCTTGCATATATACACGGTCAATTTCTAACCATAAAATGCTGTATGCATTAATATCCTAGTAATTATTGGCTTTTGAAATGTCTTATATTTTAATAGCTAGCTTCCATGACAGGTAAATTTATTAGCGGTTACTTTCACCCGTAAAAACCCATGGTGTTGTGAGCATCAGTACCAAAAAGAATACTTCATATTGCATGATACAAAATGGTATTAATAGATAAATAATACGCGCTGCTAATTGGTATTCAAGCGAACATATGTATTATTCAAAGTGGCGGTCAATTTATTCAGATCCACAGTCTCACATCTATGGTACATTTGGATCCCTATATAAAGGCGTTCTTTCCGTTGATTACTTGTTCCCCATCTTTATCACACTTATTTTTCATTAAGTTGTTTCAAATGTCTACCCAATCAATCCTGAGAAGCAAATCTTCTTCTGCCAGTACTAGCTACTGCGAAATGGTAGACTCTCTTGAGGTTGGATTCTCAATTGAGAAGCAAGTGGTGGCATCTTGCCAACAACATAGGGAACGATCAGTGCGATTCTCAGATGTAGTCACAATAAACAACTCTGCCTTTGTAATGGTTGTGAATGGGAGCAAAGGCAATCAAGACCTGTCTGCTTATCAGCAATACAACAGTTCTTCCTCTTCCTAAAATTATATATATATATATATTGGTATTTGTATATTTCATACTTTGTATATATCTACTATCCAATACAATGTATACAATTTGTTCTGCTTTATTTATATAAACACTTCTTAATAATATTTATTTTTCTCTATTTTTTAATTGTAAATTTCTACTTTCATTAAGTTGAATATATGATTTAGTACTCTTACGCTTCTTTTTTGCGTTAGATTGGAAGATGTAGTTATATATTGTAACTTCAATAAACCTATTTTAATAACACCTTTCGATTTTTTTTGAAAGCTATTGATAAACTAATTTGCTTAAATATAAAGTGGATAATACTATTTATTTACACTCAAGTGTAATATATTATGGGTAGATTTTCCAATTTTCAAAATACTTTCTCAAGCATATTATCGACAATATTTTCTTTTCAATAATACTAATAATAAAATGCTCTAATAATAAAGCCAAACTTTGAGAAAAGATAGTTCGATATATATACATTGAAGAGAAAAATTATGAAGTTCTAGAGGTGAGTTGTGCTATCACAATCTGTGATTACTTTTTTAGATTTATCTGATATACCTCTACTAAATTTTTCAGAAATTGAAGTGGTATTTCGACTCTGTCTTTTGAATTACTGCTTCAAGTTCTTCCATTTTTGTTACTTTTTCTCTAGTCTTGCATAATTTCCTCATAAGATGCGCCTAAGTATACTCAATAGAGTTGAGATCCCGGCTCGGAGCAAAGTAAAATACAAAAATATTTACAAGGTACCTCTATTTCTTATACAATGTACCATAAGCGCCTGTGGCCTGGTGCGCCACCCTCTTTAAATAAAAGCTGCTTGTCATTATTTCTATATAGTTCCTTACATCAAGGAAGAAATTACTAGGTCAGACAAATTAAGATTCCCACATCTACTAATTTCTAATGATGGAATACTATTAACACAAATGTCTCTCTACTAAATGAGTGCACTATAGCAGATTGGGTTCTTTTTGTAACTTTTAGTTCCCTTTCTTGACATGCCAAGAGGGTGGAAACAGCTTTATATTGAAAGACTTTTACTACATCTTCAACAGTACTCTCGGAATACCAAAGGCTTTGAATATATATCTATATGTAGCGTCCTTTTCTCATTGACCTATAACTCCTCATTGTATGAATAAGTTCTAATACTTTCTTTTATGGTTTGTGGTACTAGAATCTGGTGAAGTCCTATTGCGCTTTTGCTTTATTTGTTTTGAAGCTTTTAGTAGGTTTAACAAAAAAAAATTGATAATACTTCAAAAAAATGAAAAAAAATGACAATTTTTGTGACCGTCTTATAATATATTACACTTGAGTGTAAATAAATAGTATTATCCACTTTATATTTAAGCAAATTAGTTTATCAATAGCTTTCAAAAAAAATCGAAAGGTGTTATTAAAATAGGTTTATTGAAGTTACAATATATAACTACATCTTCCAATCTAACGCAAAAAAGAAGCGTAAGAGTACTAAATCATATATTCAACTTAATGAAAGTAGAAATTTACAATTAAAAAATAGAGAAAAATAAATATTATTAAGAAGTGTTTATATAAATAAAGCAGAACAAATTGTATACATTGTATTGGATAGTAGATATATACAAAGTATGAAATATACAAATACCAATATATATATATATATAATTTTAGGAAGAGGAAGAACTGTTGTATTGCTGATAAGCAGACAGGTCTTGATTGCCTTTGCTCCCATTCACAACCATTACAAAGGCAGAGTTGTTTATTGTGACTACATCTGAGAATCGCACTGATCGTTCCCTATGTTGTTGGCAAGATGCCACCACTTGCTTCTCAATTGAGAATCCAACCTCAAGAGAGTCTACCATTTCGCAGTAGCTAGTACTGGCAGAAGAAGAT